GCTCCGCAGCCGGGCAGACCTCGAGGGGCTCGGCGCTGTTCCCTCCCTGGGAACTCCCTTCCTCAGCTACAAGACCCCGGCAGGGGCTGGTCCTCCTGGGCGCGGGTGCAGGCAACCCCTTGCCCCCCACCTTTCAGGCGTGGAGGTCAGCAGCACCCTCCGTACCTTGCACTTCTCAGCAGCCTCCTCAAGCGGAATGGCAGCGTGGGCCTGGCGAGCCTGCGACTCGGCGCAGCGCTGACAGAAGGGGCTTCGGTCCTCCATGCAGAACATCTCCAGGGCTTCATGGCATGTCTCCTTGGGGGGCTCTGCCAGCCGGATTCCAACCTCCTCTCCATCCACCCATCCCTTGTCCTCACCGTCCTTCCCTGCCGGAGGGTGCAGGCAGCACCGAGGGCATCGTGCGACCGTGCCCACGTGGAGCTGGCTGGTGCAAGAGCTGCAGATCCCATGCTTGCACCCTGTCGAGGCCAGCAGAGTCTTGAAGGGCTCCCAGCAAAAGGTGTGCAAAGTCATCTCCCAACATTGCTGAGCTGCCATCGCTCCTCCCAGCAGCTTCCTTTCATTTTCTGGGTCAACATCCAGGGAGGCCAAAGGCTGGCAGGGGGTTGACCACTCAAGAAATGAACCTTTGCCGCTACCAGAGCTCTGGAGGCTTTTCCTGCCCTGGGCTCGATGGGGACATCCCCATCGGCAGCACCACTGCAACCCTGCCTGCTCCGCGTGCTCCACGAAGCACATCTGGAGCAGCCTGAGGGCGAGAGAACATCTGGAGCAGTGCATGATACCACTTCTAGAGCACAGTGTGGTGCCACATCTGGAGCACGCGGAGGGGTGAGACCACATCTGGAGAGCTCTGCCCACTTCTGGGCTCCCCAGTACCAGACAAGCGTGGGCATGATACATCCAGGGGACAAGTTGGACCCAGCCAGACTCTTCCCAGCGACACCCAGGGGAAGGATCCAGTCCAGATCCTTCTCCTGCCTCTGCCCCACCATCCTCCCCCCTCCCTCCATTCTTCTGGCTCCAGAGGATTTTATGGGAACCCATTCTGCGCTCTCCCAATGGGGAGGTGAAGCACCCCAGGGCACCGCGATGAGCGACTTTCACCCCACGCAGGAGCTCCTGCCTTCCCCAAACCTCCCCTGCCTGTCCCTGCAGCTGCAGTGCCCACCGCCCTGCCTCTCCCCACCCTGGGCTCCCTCTCGGACCTCTCTGGGAGACCACCCACCCATGCCAGCCCCTCTGGTGAGGATGCCCAGGATGGGACGTACCTGCTCATGGTGGTCTTGACGTCCTGGAGAAGGGAAGCACAGCAGACTCAGTGCCTGGTCCCACGTGGAGCCACCCCACAGCGATGCCGGAGCCACCGGGACTGGGACACATCCCAGAGCCTGTCCCCACCATCCCACAATTCCAACATGCCCTCGATGCTGGGATCCACAGGAATCCAGACTCATCACAGCCCTCCCCACATGCAGGAACACCCCAAGGCCACCCCACCTGCAGGCACGTCCCCTCCAGCTCCACGATCAGGGGGCTCCAGCCCCAGCTCCACAGGTTCTCCAGCTGCCGGCTGGGGTGCAGGTGGCTCCCCCAGGACCATGTTCCCAGCCTTGTCCTCACGTACCCCACGCGCTAAACCTCCAACGCAGCTCAGCCTTCTGCCAGCTGAGAGCATCCTACCTGCTCAGGACAGCTCCAGGAGATGTGGGGCGGAGGAGCCATGGGGGTCCCCTTATCTCTCCCCCAGCCTTCCCAACCGCGAGCAATGAAATAACGATCCCGCACTCCCGGAAACCCAGTTCCACTTTATTGCACCTCATTTTAAAGCAGGTACCCACAAACAAGCTGTCACAGCCGAGCCAGATTCATCGTGGTGTATTTGGAAGGCGGCAGCATAGAAATCAGATGAGAGACAGCGAGCACGAGGGAGAAATTGGGGAAGGAAATATGTATTTGGAAAACGCTGCATCTGATAAAAGCAGATGATCCAAAGGGACCGAACCTCAGGGGGATGGAGACCCCTCAGTTTCAGGATGGGCTCTTAAAATATTTAAATGTTTTTGAAGGTGGGAAGCTAAAAAGAGGCTTTTTAGCCTCTAAAGGAGGACCTAGATGTTCTCCTCCAGCAGGTTCCCAATGCACGAGCCAAGCTGAGCGGTCCCCAAACCCCACGGCCCTCCATCCCATCGGGGCATCAGCATCCCTGCAGCCACCCCAGGGGCCAGGGACCGAGCAGCCACCGCCGTCCCCCGGCACGGTGCCGCAACCCACCGCGGCACGCCTGGTCCTGAGAACATCTTCCGCCGTTAAGTGTGTTTGGAGGAAGGGTGAAAATTACACTGAAATGCGTTTCTGGGATGGATGGGGCGTGGAAGGGGGTATCCATCCATCGCTGAGGTGGGCACCCAAAGGCACCTTGAAGGCGTTGGGCAAAACAAAGTCACTGACTGGGACCCACCAGCAGCTCCTTGCGGAGATGCGTCCGCAGATGCTTCATCAGGGAAGAGCTGGACATGAAGCACTTGGTGCATTTGGTGCATTTATAAGGTTTCTCCCCGGTGTGGATCCTTCGGTGGATGATGAGGGTGGAGCTGGCCCGAAAGCTCTTCTCGCAGTAAGAGCACCGGTAGGGTTTCTCACCCGTATGGATACGCTGGTGCCTACGGAGGGTGGTGCTCTCCCGAAAAGCTTTCCCGCAGTCGGAGCAGACGTAGGGCCTGGGTCCCACGTGGCTCTTCTGATGGAGGAGGAGGGCTGAGGGGACAGTGAAGCCGATCCCACAGTCGGAGCACTGATAGGGTTTCTCTGCCAAGTGCTTTTTCCGGTGTTGCTTAAAAGACGAGCTTTCAAAGAAGGCTTCCCCGCAGTCGGAGCACGGATACGGGGGCTGGCCCCTGTGGGTCCTGAGGTGGGCTACGAAGGCTGAGTTTTTTGGGAAGGTTTCCCCGCACTCGGGACACTTATAGGTCCCCTCCTCCATGTGAGTCTTGCGATGCTTGCTGAGCGATTTGTTGGCCATGAAGCTTTTCCCGCAGTCGGGGCACTCGTAGGGTCTCTCCCCCGTGTGTATTCGACGGTGGATGACGAGGGTGGACTTGGAAGTGAGTTTTTTCCCGCAGTCCGGACAGACGAAGAACGCGCCTTCCGTGTGGCTCTTGCGATGCTTGTTGAGGGACTTGGTGGCCATGAAGCTCTTCCCGCAGTCGGGGCACTTGTAGGGTCTCTCCCCGGTGTGTATCCTCCGATGGATGATGAGGGTCGAGTTGGAAGTGAGGTTTTTCCCGCAGTCGGAGCACTGGTACGGCCCGTTCTCCAGGTGGAGCTTGCGATGTTTTTTGAGAGTCTTGGTGGAAGCGAAGCGTTTCTCGCAGCTGGGGCATTTGTAGGGTTTCTCCTGGCAGCGAGTCTTCTGATGGTCCTTAAGGGTGGAGCTGCACGTGAAACTTCTCCTGCAGTTGGAGCAGGTGAAGGGTTTCTCCCCCAGATGGACCCTCTGATGCCGGCTGAGGGACGAACCACGGCTGAAGCTCTTCCCACACTTGCTGCAGGCGTGTTTGTGCTGCTCCAGCCGTATTCTCGAGGGGCTCTTGCTATTGGGTTTTCTCCCGTTGTGGCTGGAAGAAGCCGATCTCCTTCCCGAGTGGTGCTTGTGGTGCTCGTAGCCCAGGGAGATGCCACCTTTGGGTTTCCTCGCCGACCCGCTGCGCAGCTCTCCGTCTTCCTCCTGGGAACTGTCCTCCTCCGTCTCGCTCGTCCACCCATCGTCTGCCGGGAAAAGCAGAAAGAAAAAGGAAGGGGATCCACCTCTGCCTCCATCCTGAACGTGCCGGGAGGGAGCTTGAGGAGGGATGGAGAGAAGCACCACAAAATGTGATTGATTTCACCCCTCAATCGTATCTGGCAACACTGATCCAGAAGCAGCAGCATCCCTCTGCCAGGAGAAGTATTTGGCATCTCTGGCTGCTGATGCCCAAATGGGTCCTCACCCCCCTGCAACCCCCTCCTCCCAGTTACACCAGTTTCCAGGATGATCTTGCTTGCTGGAGGCAAGGAGCGATGCCTGGCATCTCTGTTTTGGGGTGGAAAACAAGTCCCTTACCTGAGTAACAGGAGTTGGAGCCAGAGGAGCTCCCGGCATCTCGGCAGCTTCTCCACCGTTTCCTTTTCCTCGTCCACAACCTCAAGAGGGGTCTCGCCAGTTGTTCCTCCTCCTCCTCCTCCGAGCTCTGGATGTCGGGGATCCAAACCTCCTCCCCTTGCTCCAGCCGAGCGAGCAGGTCGGGGTTATACACGGGGAAGCCTGCTCAGGTAGACAGCGGTGGATTACTGGGTAGGTAACAACCGTCTGCGATCCCTCGTTACAGGAGACAGAGGTTTGACCTTAAAACTCATCCCTCTTCAAAAAGAGAAAGAAAATGCAGGTGCTCAGGTCTCTGAGGAGAGAAGCGCCAGCAGGGTTTGCTGAGGGTATCTACAAGAGCTTTCCAGGTGATGGAGAAGGCATCCCAGGGAGTAAGAAGCTTAAAACAGAGAGGAATCAGCCCCAAGACCACTTTTCAAGAAGACAGAAAAGCCCAGTGAGATCAAGAGCAGTTGAGAAAGGCAGAGATCGCCCGTCTGGAAAGACTCGGGGAATGTCGAGCAGGAGGAAGAGGAAGGCTGGAAAAACCCAGGATTAAAACCAGGCGTGCCAGCCGCACGGCTCGGATGCTTCTCGCCCAAGTGACCTGCTCCCTGATTTTACTTCGAGAAAAATCTTTGTTGGGGGCACGGTGGACAAGCCAGGCGCCCAAATTAAGGGGCCACGTCCTGGTTAATCAGACACTCGGGTCTGTTGAACATCAACTCCACGAGCAGGACGTTGGAGAAGGAGCACGCGAAGGAAGAGACGACGCTCGAGGACTGAGCTGCGCGCGAAAGCGTGACTTTTATCCGCTTTGTCAGCGCCCTTCGAGGCTGAGCCGTTGCCATTAATTATTTCTTCAGCTCAGCGTGCCCAGGGGTGGCACGGTCTTCTCATGGGCGTCATCTAGAAAATCAGCAGCAACCTGAAAGGGTTAAGTACTGATGCTACCCAGTCCCAAAATTCAATCAGATTAGAAAAGAGCAAGAAGGACCATAAAAAAATGGGAAACCTGTGGTACGGCGAGATGAAGTTCGTGTTGATTCACCCGATGATCAAGCAACTCTAAAAGCCGCGCGAACCAGACCCCAACGCCTTCCTCACCCACCCAAGCGCCCTAAAAACTCAACTTGAGTCCCCTTTCCATCTTGCCCGCTCCCCTCCTGGACCCACAACTCGTGCCATGGCTGGAGGAGACCTGGGGACTTCTCCATCCCCCAGTGCCCCTTCCCAGGTGGCCAGGAGCTGTCAGGAGAGGGCAGTGTGAGCCCGAAGGAGCCGCCGAGCCCCGGGCAGGACATCCCTCCAGCAGATCGCCTCCCATATTTCAACTCATTTCTGGCAATTTTACTCATGCGTAGCGGGGGGAAGAGCATCCACCTGCCCAGGCCGGGATGCTTGGAGGCCCTCAACGGGCGCCCGAGGGGCTTGGGCGTTGAGGAGAGCCCCCAGTGATGCCACCCGCCTCCTGCTGAGGACGAAGACAGGGCTGAGGCACTTAAACCAAGCTCTCAGCTAAGTTTCAGGGGCAGCATTAATTAAAACCACCCAATTGTAAAGCCTCGTGCACGGAGCAAGCCACGGAAGATGCGCGAGCTGCCTCCCGGAGCAGACCGAGGGAAACCCAACAAGATTTAGGGTCGGTCCCACCGTTCCCGGCATCACCTTCACCTTTCCCGCTATCCGCGTACGTCACCCTTGGAAAAATGGGATTTATCCCAGGAATTGAGGTGGGACGAGCAAACGCAAGGGATTAGGCTCGGGCATCCCGAAGGGGATGGAACCTGGGAGCCCACCACGACTCTCCGACCCACAAAACAAGAAAAACGAGGAGAAAAAGCAGGATTTCGTTTAAAAGGAGCCTTGTTGGTCAAAACGCGGAGCTGCTGGGCAGGGGGCCCTACCTGCCGGGAGGCGGGCGGCGAGCGGCCAGGCCTGCTCGCTGGCGGCCATGGTGGCGATGGTGACCTCCTGCAGGGCCTCGGGCACCTGGGGGGATGAAATGAATTAAATGGGCAGCGAGGGGGCAGCGGTTGAAAAATGTAAAAAATAAAAGTGAAGACCGAAAATTAAAAAAGACAAAGAGGAAAAAAAAAAAAAAAAATGCAAAGAACCAAAATAAAAAAATCACAAGGTAAAAACGAAAAATAAAAAATGGTAAGAACTAAAACAAAAAAAAAAGGTAAGAACTAAAACAAACAAACAAAAAAGTAAGAACTAAAACAAAAAAGAACTAAAAAAAAAGAACTAAAACAAAAAAAAACCCAAAAGAACTAAAACAAAAAAAAGAACTAAAAAACAAAGGTAAGAACTAAAACAAAAAAAACCAAAAGAACTAAAATTTAAAAAGTAAGGAAACAAAGTAACAAGTAAAATTAAAAAAAGGCAAAGTAAGAAATAAAATTTAAAAATGAAGTAAGAAAATTTAAAAATACGAAATAAAAAACAAAGTAAGAAATAAAATTAAAATACAAACTAAGAAGTAAAATAAAACCCAAAGAACTAAAATAAAAAAACGAAGTAAGAAATCAAATTAAAAAAAAGAAATAAAATTAAAAAAACAAAGTAAGAACTAAAATTAAGTAAGAAATAAAATAACAAAGTAAGAACAAAAAGAAAAAGCAAAGTAAGAAATTAAAGAGTGGGAAATAAAGTTAAAAAAACCAAAGTAAGGAATTAAAAAAAAGTAAGAAATGTTTTGAAAAAGCCAAGTCAGAGCTGAACTTTTACAAATAACTACAAAACCGAAGCAAATCCGAAGGGGAAGGGGAAGCCCCCGCCGCCCCCGGCCCCACCTGGGCCGGCTCCAGCGCAGCCATGGCCGGGCTCCGC